CGTGAACGAATATTAACGAGTATGAGACAGCTGACAGACGCTCATTAGTTTATTATTAACATTAAATTAACTGACTGATACTATTTTTAATTGTCTGGTACATGATAGTAATCTGTACAATATTGCGATGTTAGCACATGGGTAAAAGCTAGCATCGTTAACTCACAAGACACCTGCTGCTTTTTCTCTGGATTAAACTAACAGGACTTCCTAACCCTAACCCTCTGGTGACATCAGTTGTTTTGGCAAAAAAATAAAGAAAAACCTTTCCCTCAAAAATGACTCCAAAAGCCTAAATAATTTATGTGTAAAACATTTTTAAAACGAGTTTCTAATTTGCTTTTCTAAACATTGGTTTATAGGAGTCTCTAACCTGCAATTTGCTCTTTAAAGAGCGAGTAACGCCTAACTGAACTCATTTTTGCTGATAAGTTGTAAAGATGAGTGTCTAATGGTGCTGTACACACGTGTAATCATTAGTGTGGCAGTTTAGTGCAACTTTCTTGAAATGTAATATTTCAGCCCAAAACCATAATAATATCTCCATCTTCAGGTTAAAACCCTGCTCCATATTTACGTTGAACCAGCGCTGGCTGATGGCTAAGCTGAAAAACGTGACGTTGTCAGCAAATGACCACGTGGCTGCACCACACTGGTCTCCAGGTGAGGCAGCCGCACCTCCACCTGGCTCAGCCTCTCACCTGCCGATTTTACTCGTTAGCGCTCTGGGCCACTTGCCTCCTTGAAAAAATGCCCTCCTCCCCTTTTCATCTAATGATCGTCGTGTCTAACAGGAAATCCTCCAGAATGCAGCAGAATCTGTGTCTGCTCTTCTCCTGAGTGGTGAGTCTTGTGTGAGTGTGTGCTTGCGTGCACGCGTGAGTGCGCACGCGCTCGTTAACAACTAATTGTTAGAAACTCCGACAGCACATGCGGGGGGGGGGGGGGGGGGGTGAGGGGGGTGTGGTCTACCACTGCCTCAGTGCCGCTCTCGGTCCGCCAGGTGATGCCTCTTCCAGAAGCATTTTCCTAACAGGAAGTGTGGATGAAATACATGTCCACCCAGGCCTTGAACCTCAATTTAACTTATGATGTCCGTGAAGATCGTACCTCACAGGACGATCATTCAGTGTATCTTGGCTTGGACCGTGCACCATCTTGCCACAGGAGTCCCCCAGGGCTCTGTACTAGGACATCTTCTCTTTGCCATATACACCACCTCACTGGGTGAGATCATTCGATCACATGGCTTCTCCTACCACTGCTATGCAGACGACACCCAGCTCTATCTGTCATTTCCACCGGACGACCACACTGTCTCTGCACAAATATCAAACTGTCTCTCTGACATATCAAAATGGATGAAATCCCACCATCTCCAACTCAACCTCTCTAAAACTGAACTACTTGTCATCCCAGCAAAACCATCCATACAACACAATATCTCAATCCAGAATGACTTCCTATCTCTGGCTCCTTCAAAGGCAGTTCGAAATCTGGGTGTTGTGATTGATGAACACCTGGCCTTTAAAGATCATGTTGCCTCTGTTGCTTGTTCATGCCGCTTTGCGCTGTATAACATACGAAAGATCAGACCATACCTAACACAACATGCCACCCAGCTCCTGGTGCAATCTACTGTCATCTCCCGCCTCCATTACTGCAATGCTCTTCTAACTGGTCTTCCAGGCTGTACTGTGAGACCTCATCAAATGGTCCAGAACGCAGCAGTGCGTCTGGTCTTCAATCAGCCAAAAAGAGCACACGTCACCCCTCTGTTCATTGAGCTCCACTGGCTACCGCTAGCAGCACGCATCAAATTCAAACTGCTAACACTAGCATACAAAGTCCGAGATGGCACGGCTCCCATCTACCTGAATCCTCTTGTAAAGGCTTACGTCTCGGCCCGGCCGCTCCGGTCATCACAGGATCGTCGGCTAGCAGTGCCTACACCACGCTCAGGACAATCCAGACTCTTCTCATGCATCGTTCCACAAATGTGGAATGACCTTCCTAACACTACCAGAACAGCGGCTTCCTTTTCAATTTTCAAGAAACTCCTGAAGACCCTGCTCTTCAGAGAGCATCTTCTAAACTAGCACCCTCCCTGCATCCATCCCCCCTCTCTACTGTCCACTCCTTGTTCCCTCCTCTCCATGACTGATGTCACGTTGTTGTTGTTATTGTTGTTGTTAGCCTCAAGGGCAACATGCCGATTATCACTTGTAAGTCGCTTTGGACAAAAGCGTCTGCTAAACACATAAACATAAACATAAGTTTAAAGACACATTCTGACACGCTCTTATTTTAAAACGCCAGCAAAAGTTATTTTAGATTTTGTATGAAAAGATGTATTGGACTACAAATGTTCGTCTCCTTCCATCCATCTACTTTCAGCCGCTTATCCAGAGTCAGGTCGCGAGGCCAGCAGCCTGAGCTGAGAGGCCCAGACTTCCCTCTCCCCAGCCACTTGGACCTAAGGCATTTCCTGGCCAGCAGAGAGTCATAGTCCCTCCACCTTGTCCTGGGTCTACCTTTAGGTCTTCTCCCAGTCGGACGTGCCCAGAAAACCTCACCAGGGAGGCGTCCAGGAGGCATCCTGACCAGATGCCCGAGCCACCTCAACTGGCACCTCTCGATGTGGAGGAGCAGCAGGTCTACTCCGAGTCCCTCCCGATTGACCGAGCTTCTCACCCTATCTCTAAGGGAGAGCCCAGACACCCTGCTGAGAAAACTCATGTCGGCCGCTTGTATCCGCGATCTCGTTCTTTGGGTCACTACCCAAAGCTCATGACCATAGGTGAGGGTAGGAACGTAGATTGACCGGTAAATCGAGAGCTTCGCCTTCTGACTCAGCTCTCTCTTCACCACGACAGACCGGTACAACGCCTGCATCACTGCAGATGCAGCATCAATCCGCCTATCGATCTCACGCTCCATCTTTCTCTCACTCGTGAACAAGACCTTGAGATACTTGAACTCCTCCACTTGGGGCAGGACCCCATCCCTGACCCGGAGAAGGCATTCTACCCTTTTCCGATTCAACACCATGGTTGGGTGAATTCCCACGCACCGTTCAGGACCCGGAGAAGAAGATTAGATTACCGTATTTTCCAGAATATAAATCGCACTGGACTATAAGTCGCATTTTGGGGGGGAAATGTATTATTTTTCTTACAAAATCTGAGACCAAGCATTTCACATTGCAAGACAAGTACCGGTAACTATAACAGAATAAACAACCAGGACGCAGCAGCGCACCACGGTCTCCAGCAGAAGATGGCAGTGTTTCAAACCCTCCCAGCGGGCGGGAAAAGCTCATTCCTGGGCTGGAGCCGGCCCGCAGCACCCCGCCACAGGCTGCAGCAGGTGATGGCGGTGTTTGAAACCCTTCCAGCGGGACAGGGGAGCTCATTCCTGGGTCGGAGCCGCCCAGCCAGCAGCAGCTCGCCACAGGCTGCAGCAGGTGATGGCGAGAGAGAGGAGCTGAAACCTGAACCGGAGCCAGCCCGCAGCAGTGGGCCATGGTCTCCAGCAGGTGATGGCGGGGCAGAGGAGCTTATTCCTGGTCTGGAGCCGGTCTGCAGCAGCGCAATATACATAATTTGGTTGCTCCAGAGTATAAGTCGCAGGACCAGCCAGACTGTGAAAAAAAGTGCCACTTACAGTCTGGAAAACACAGTAGTTTAGTGAGCTTCACACCCTTCTTCCAGGATGTCAGAAAGAGCACTGTACGTGGATAAAGCCACCTTAAGTCTGGTTGTGAGGTAAGTAGCAGCTATGCTAGGGGAGGAGAGATTCTGCTGTGATGTCATTTTTGACACATCTGACTTTGTAGTCTTTTTATTTACAATTTTATACAAGCTGGTAAATCTGAAAGTACGTGACGGGCGTGGTCAAAACATACATAATTACTTTTCATTTGAACTGAAGTACAACATGATTCAGTAGCTTTTATTGCCCTGTTCAGGGACCCATGAGCTGACCGGAAGGGGAGGAGCCTTGTGCTCTCTATTGGTGGCTCTGGGAGTGGAGGCCACAGGGGTGTTGGCCCCTACTGAAATCTGATTGGCCTCCTGAAGTGCCACTGTCCTGCCACTCAGCTGCCCTTTGTGTTACGATCAGATCGTAGCTGGGTGCAAAGTCCAAACTCTAGTAGTTCCAATGAGCCAAACAGGAAATTCCTTCGTGTAAAAGTGTTGGACTAATTATTGGACCTCTATAAATGTTGTGGTCCCTTGATGGCCCCTTCTGCGAAGAATCCTAGCCCCTCCACTTTCAGTGTTTAAAATATCAATCCTGAACAACTTAAAAGCAACAGCTGCTGATTAAGAGGTTATAAAGTAGGCTGGGGACATTCAGACGTCGGTCTACGTTCTCCCTGTACTGCAATCTTGGATAAGAACATACTTTTATAACCTCAGTAGTCTTCAAGTGTGACGTGTGCAAATAACACAGAAAGGAGGGAAACCAGTGCAGAACTCGTACTGACAAATGTTACACACCTTGCATCAGTATCAGTGATGTCATACCTCGACCAACATCATTTTAAGATGATGCTCTAAAAGGCAACCAGAAGGATGGAAGAACTACAGAAATGAATAAGAACTAGAATGGATGTTACAAGGCCAAAATTACAACACTTCCCTTCACACTGCTGATTTTATTGTGATTTCCTTTGAAATCTGATTTTATCTTTAGAGCACCTTGGCTGGTGGAGAAAAGGTGTTTTTAAATGAACTTAATTGAATTGGATGCCTTTTTATTAGATTTTTTTCCATGATTTTATTCATATTTATATTCTTCATTGCTGTGCCAAGATTGATGTGCTGCATCTCTCTCACGGGAAGGTAAATGATCAGAAACATTCACTGGGTTTTGGAAACAAGGACCAAAGTTTTATTTTACACAACACAAAGCAAACCAAAGCACCCACAGGAAGGATGTAGGGTCTTTCATGCAGGTAGGCGTTAAAAGTCTCATTGAGGTTTCTTAGGTAC